GCCTGTGTACGGCTTCATGAGCCATGGCATTAAGGGGTAGGCTGGGTCCCCAAGGATACATATAGGCATTTCAACATCCCCAACAGTTATTTTCTGGTCTGGGAATAAAGTCCCTTCCTGCAGCTTTTGAAACAGACCAGAGTTCCTGAAGATGCGAGCGTCATGTACCTTTCCCGGCCATCCCACGTTGATGTTGGTGAAACGTCCCTTGTGATCCACCAGAGCTTGCAGCACTATTGAAAAGTACCCCTTGCGATTTATGTACTTGCCGGCTTGGTGCTCCGGTGCCAAGATAGGGATATGGGTTCCATCTATGGCTCCACCACAGTTAGGGAATCCCATTGTAGCAAAGCCATCCACTATGACCTGCACATTTCCCAGGGTCACTACCCTTGATATCAGCAGATCTTTGATTGCGTGGGGTACTTGCATCACAGCAGCCCCAACAGTAGATTTGCCCACTCCAAATTGATTCCCAACTGACCGGTAGCTGTCTGGCGTTGCAAGCTTCCACAGGGCTATTGCCACTCGCTTCTGGACTGTGAGGGCTGCTCTCATCTTGGTATTCATGCGTTTCAGGGTGGGGAAAGCAAGTCACAAAGTTCCATGAAAGTGCCTTACGCATGCGAAAGTTTCGCAGCCACTGTGAATCGTCCCAGACCTGCAACACTATGCGGTCCCACCAGTCTGTGCTTGTTTCCCGAGCCCAGAATCGGCGTTCCACAGCATGAACCTGCCCCATTAGCACCATGATGCATGCATTGGCAGGGCCCATGCTTTCAGAGAAATCTGTGTCCATGTCCTGATCACTCACGTGAGAGCGCTGACGTCGTCGCCTCACCCGGTATCGCTTTGCCAGGTTCTGGTGCTGCATATACTGCTGGATAATGCGTGTGGTGTTTAATGTGCTCCTAATTCCCAAAGTGAGCTGAGCGGCCTCCATGCTTGCCTTGGTATGGCGTCCGCACAGAAAAAAGGCGCGGAACGATTATCTGCCGTTGCTCTGACGGAGGGAGGGGTGACTGATGACACGGCTTACAGGGTTGGCTTCAGGGAGCTAAAATCAACAAAGGGAGTGGCTTTACATCAAGGAGTATTTCAGGCAGGACTTCACGGAGGGTTCCAATAAGAAATGGTGCACCTAAGTTATTGTTCTTATTGGAACAAGGAGGTTAGCCTGGCCTCTGATTGATACATGGCTAGATTTACCTCGCTGCACCTTCTCTGTGAGTGACTGCAGTGTGACCTAGAGGAATAAGACCCCTAGACGGGGGAGGAGGCAAATGAGTACAAAACAAATCTGGTCTATTTCTTGTTTTGATCCACTCCATCTATCTTTTACATCTTTGGCTGGCAGCAGACAGTGCAGAAGGACTGCATGCCATCCACATCTCATGGCTGCTCGGCAGAAGATGGTACAGTACGACTGCTAGCCATCCTCATCTCTTGCCTGCCCGGCAGAAGATGGTACAGTACGACTGCTAGCAATCCGTATTGCCTGCCTGCTCACCATAAGACGGTTCAATAGGACTGACTGCAGGACAAAAGAGAATGACCTGGCCAAGTCACTCCAAATTTAGTCCCTGCGCCCATGTCTGCCCAGGCGCTCCCAGCCAACGTGGCCAGGAGCACCTCGGACATGACGATGACGGCTACCAGTCGTATTGTACCGTCTGCTGCCAGAAGGTAATGGGTTGCTGCTACTGTGTAGCAATGCCGTACCGCGTCTGCCAGCACCCAGGAGACAACCTGAGCAGGCTCCATGCTTGCCGTGGTATGGCGTCTGCACAGGTAACTCAGGAAAAAAGGCACGAAACGATTGTCTGCCCTTGCTTTCAAGAAGGGAGGGAGGGAGGGAACGGGGATGATATGTACTCAGAACCACCCGCGACAATGTTTTAGCCCCATCAAGCATTGGGATCTCAACCGAGAATTCCAATGGGCAGCGGAGACTGCGGGAACTGTGGGATAGCTATCCACAGTGCAACGCTCCGGAAGTCGACTCTAGCCTCGGTACTGTGGAAGCACTCCGCCGAGTTAATGCACTTAATGCACTTAGAGCATTTTCTGTGGGGACACACACACTCGAATATATAAAACCGATTTCTAAAAAACCGACTTCTGTAAATTCGACCTTATTCCGTAGTGTAGACATACCCTTAGACTTGCAGGATGATCGACAGGAGGAGAGAACATTTGGTATCAAGAGAGGAGGAGAGGAGAAAAGGACTGCACTCGCGAGAGAAGGAGAGAAAGAAGTGGCACCAGTTGAAGAAGGAAGAGGAGCTTTGTGAAAAAGAAAAGGTGCAAAACTAATACAGGGAACTGGAGACTCCCAGAGGGAGTGACAGCTGACACAGTCATGCTGTAAAATGGTCCCCCCAGCATCCTGAGGATGGAGGGACAGACACCAGTTACAGAGAATCTGGGAAACTCTCTGGTCAATCCCAATGGGGAAGTAATCATGGGTTCTTTCTATTCGGAGAGCATATAGATCCTCATATGGGTGATCAACAGGATTGGGACTTTACATCCATAGCACAAACCTCTACCACTTCAGCTATCAGAGTAACAGATCAGGTTGTTGTTCTCTATATGGACCAACCGTGAGGAGGTGATGAGACACACACTTTGCCAGTGGGTTTCTCAGGTATTTCCTGACCTCAGAGGAATGCTGAGACTCAGAAATCCTCGTTCAGATCCAGGTTCCAGAGCGGAGTGTGCACTAATGCTTATAAAACCTTCTGACCCATCTGCTGCAGCCTGTCTGCCACCCTCTGCTTTTATCTCCCCCTCCAGACTCCTATTCTTGCCCTCTGTGCCCCTATCCAGCCCCTTCAGTGCCTATTCCCCCATTGCCCTCTGTTCTTCGTGTCCTCCCACCCTAACCAAGCTTTCTCTGCCTTACTCCATTGCATTTAATTCTCTTCCTCTTTCTCCACCACTCTGCCTGGATGCCAGCAGGGGGGCAGTGATGGAGGACATTGAGAACACAGGAAAGAGAGTCTTCCTGCTCTCAGTTCTCATGTTGGTGACACTGCAGCCTCTGACTATCAGGAGGAACAATTACAGGAAAATCCTATTTAGTCCTTGCACCCTAGGGCAGAAGCATGTTCCATTGCTCTGTGAGGATACTGCATGCACAGTTTGGTTGGCTGTCGTGGAACTGAGCATACTCAGAGTATGTGCAAATTGATTTTTCAGAGGGTTATAACTTAGCAAAATTTGGGTGGCTTTTCACAGGGATGGCAAAAAGCACATCCCTGACCCAAAGGCCACACACTGCCAAATTTTAACTCCCTGCTCCAAAGCAGTGAGGTGATAGAGCTTCCCTATGAAATAGTTGTAAAAATGTTTTTAACATGGGCAAAACAATGTATTTTTCCCTAACCTCCATCTGTGACATGGCTGAAACATTTTTGCTAAAATTTTCCCAAAATCAAAAAAAAAAAATCGGCCTGAGGAAGACACCCAGCATGGATAATATCAGCCTGAACAGTTAAGGTTTGGAAAAGTTATAAGCAACTGAAATCAAAGTCTTATAATGGAAAGTGTTAGACAACTATACCTATAGTTCTACCTATCACTTGGCAAGCAATCAGGTAAGGCCTGATCCAACTCCCATTATATTTATTCTGAGTCATTCCATTGACCTGAATGGGAGTTGGATTGGATCAGACCTATACTGCTGAGATATGGGCACTATAAGTACTTAGATGGGTTTAATCTGGATAAATGTCACTTCCCTTTTTGTAGGGAAAAAATATATTTTCAGGAATATATAATAGTGGTCTGTCCCCTTTTAAGTCAGAGGGAGGGGAAGAGTGCGGCCTGCACCAGCCAACCCTGTTCCAAAGCATGGCCCTTTTAAGAATCAATGTTCCACTGTGGGCTTGTCTACATGCGGAAGTAAGTGCACAGTAAGTTAGGGTGTGAACTTAAAGCACAGTAGCTAATCTGCACTAACTCCCCTTGTGGACACTCTTAGTGTGAATTTAAGAGTGCCCTCAGGCAGTTTAGCTTACTAGACTTCCAAATTTATTACTCTAATGAGTATGAAGCCACCCTTAGTAGTCACACAAGGAGTTTGTGCAGAGTAGCTAGTGTGTACCAGGCACTGCAGGCTTTTTTTCTATGTAGACTAGCCCTGAGGATCAGCAGGCCAAGCTGAGAATCAAGTACAGGTGCCAGAGTCAAATGACAGCTTCCTCACCATTACAAAGGCAGTGTTGCCAACTCGCATGGTTTTTTTGAGTGTAGGGGGTTCTTAAAACCATTAACTGCTGCAATTGTGTTATTACCTCAGCTTTCAATTTCTAAAAAAACCTCTAGCCCTCATTGCCGCAGAGAAGAAGCCTGAAAACATGAACCCTAAATTCTCCAACAACAGAAGACAAATAAAAAGAACCCTACATTTATTGCTTTTCTTTAATCTCATGACTTTTTGGTGCCTGACTACAATCTTTGAATGCTTTGTATTGGTAATATACAAAGGACTACTCTTGGCACAGGTGTGGGAGAGCCTAGAGTGAGGTTAGACTTGCAGGGAGGTCCCCAAGGTAGAATCAGAACCTTGGTGGACTGGAGAAACCTGCCAGAAGTGAGAAAAAGGCCCAGAAAGGAGATCTATGGATATCTTCTTCCAAGAGTGAAGATGTTTGAACCCAGAATTGAGGTCAGAAAGACCCAAGGGGAAAGACTCTCCAGGTAGGCCAATTTGGTACCTAGGAAGAGGCCCTGAGAAGGAAAGAAAGCAAGTTTGGCTTTGAATTATGGGGCAGATACCCTAGTTGTTTAGGGTTCACAGAGGTAGGAACCCTTAGTAGAAGGTAGGAGTGGGTCCCCACCATGCTACTACCCTGTGAAGGACTTCACCCTTTAACAGTAAGTACTGACAAACTAGTTTTGTGTTAATCAGAAAATAATGTTCAAAATAACAACAAATACAAACATAAATTACCTTTAAAATATGTACATATGTTGAAATAAAATATATTTACCATGGTGAATAATGCCATTCTCTAATAAAGCTTGGCCAAGATGAACACCTTCTTCAGATTTGTGTATTTCTCCAGTTTCCAGTAACCAGGACACAAACTCACTAGATTAAAAAACAAAACAAAACCACACACATACAAAACAATTCCAATATTGTTAAGGCTTTAACTCAAGAGAGCAATACTGTATAATATTCCCCACACGATTAATTTAGCAGACTGCAATGAGCAGTATTAATACGGACATAACACTTCAAAATATTCTGCATAACAGAATTATTTCCACCATATTCTCATTTTCCACTTGTATTTATTATACTCAGAGCTGGTAGTCACTCCTATTAAGGTTGAGGGATACTTCCCATTATAAGACCCTTATAATTACTTTCAGTTACTTATAACTTTGCCAAACTTTAACTGTCAGGCTGAAATTTTCCATGCTGGGTGTCTGCCACAGGATAAATTTTTTCTGGAAAATTTCTGCCAGAACAGTTCAGCTACTTCTGACAACAAGATTAGAGGAAAATATGTTATCTTGCCCATGGTGGGTTTTTTTTTTCTGAGACCCTTTAAATGCCTCTCTTCTTTAGAGCAGGGACTTGAAATTTGGCAGAGGGCAGATGTCCTTTGTGTGATGGATGTGTTTTTTGACATCTCTGGGAAAATCCACCCAAATTTGGCCAAGTTACAAGTATATAAATATCTCGGTTTGTATATGCCCAGTAGAGACTTGCTCAGTGACAATGGATAGGTTATTATGCTCTGTCATGCTCCAGCTTCGGATCCAGGTGTCAGAGTAGGGCTTTCTCTGTAACTGCAGCTTTGGGCCTTGTAGGCCATGGTGGGCCTGGGGCATCAGAATTGAGAGACTGAAGATTCTCTCTCCTGTGTTCTCAGTGACCATCCTGCTGAGCCCTGGCAGTGTGGATGAGGAAATTTTCTAATTCAAATGCAAAGGGGACAAGATAGATTGGGATAAAGAGTCTGGGAGTGGGACACTGGAGGCTGGTGGGGAGATGTTGGGACTGGCTGGACAAGGAAATGGGACTCAGAACCAGTAGAGCAGGGGAAAGGAGGTGATGGGAGGGAAACATTCATAGGAAAGCAGATGAGAGAGCCCAGGAGCTACTGTGGACCAGAAACGTGGGAAGGGGAAGAGTAGGCAACTGGAGATCACGGGGGAGGGGAGAGACAGATCAGTTAAGGAGCCAGGTGCGGGAGGAGACAAGGAATCAGGGCTGGGAACAGATAAGCAAGGAGACTAGGACTGGGATGAGAAAACTGAGGAGTGGATACTGGACTGGCTACGTAAAAAGAATAGGACTAGGATGAGAGTCCAGGATGGAGAAGAGACAGGACTGGGATGGATACAGGCCAAAAGAGTCTGTGCCCACAAGAGCACATTCCCCTGCAGAACCTGGAATGGAACCCAAGACTGTTGAGTCTCATCATTCCTTTGCTGTCAGCAAATATCTGTGAAATTCACTGGCAAAGTATGTGTCTTATCTTTCTCTAGTTATCTAGAGGGTGTCAACTTACTATCATTATCAGTCACTCCATTAGGTCAAGTGGCAGAAGTCTGTGTGGTAGACTTAACGTTTCCAACCCTGCTGATATTGCATGTGGGTGTCAGTGTGATGCCACATGATGGAATACATGTTTTATTAGTAACCTAGGAAATTACACATTAAATACAACATTAAATACTACATTAAAAGAATATTATTGATATTGAAAAGTCAAACACACAAAACTTAGGAGTGCCAGAATTAAGGTTGCCCTTGTAACCTTAATTCACCACCCTTTTGTGTCTGGATTATAATACAGGCTTTTAATACATGATCACATACTATTTCTAACACAGGACCCCTAACTTATTCAGTTCACAGCATGGTCTGCTCTGGGGATGAATCAGGGCTGTGTGTGTGAAGGAGTCTCTGGTCTGTAGGATTGTCGTAATAATTGGGTCTAATTGTGAGCTCAACTGTGAAAAGTGAAGGTAAGTTTATAAAAGGTCACAATAACCTATAACAACAAATGTTAAAGGGGAAAGAGTATGAAAAGTGAGACAGAAAGACTGAATTAGTCCAGAATAAAAATCTCTATAACTTGAGGACTGTGTAAAGATTATGCTTGGTAAAAGAGAAAACGTGGAACAAGAAATCAATGAACCAAAATTAGTGTGTCAGAACTAAGGCCTAATTGGTGAATGTAATAATATGGTGATTGGCTATTCCACCCCTTACTCCCTTTTTGGGTCCCTAAAGAAAGAGACTTTGGGAGAAAATATGGGTACTGGAGCAAGCTTCATCATCAAGGCTGCTAGCCCACATTCTCCTGGGACCCCGGGGGCCTTCATCATTCTGATCCTGAGGGATGTTCAAACCAGACTGGGTGAGAGGGACACAGATGACACTGCCATATTCACCAGCTCTAGCTGAATCCCAAACACCGCCTGGGATGCGAGACTTTGTTTGCTACCTGCATGTCCTTTTGCTTCCCTATCTTATTTCTTCTCTTTCCTTTCTCTCTAATAAGCGTCTAGCTTACCCAGCCAAGACTCTATATTTTGCAACACTGCTGTAAGCCTTTGACTTGAAAGTTGCAGCTAAAAGCAATGCCCTAAACACCCCAATGCTGGTACAAGTTTGCCATGTCTCCAAGAAGCTGATAAGACTGCATGTTGGGCCTGTGCTTTTCCAGCACTGAAGCTGCAAGTGAAAGTCAACATCAGAGACAGAAGTGGCATTTTCTATCTTTGCTATTCTTTTCTTTCCTTTTGTGTGTGTGTGTATTTGCCTCGTTTTGTCTTCCGGGAAATGGGATCGGATTTTAACAAGAGCAACAGTAGCAGCTTCAGCCCATCTCAACTGAATTCTTCCCCCCGCCCACCAAAGGACAGTTATTAACACTTTTAATACCATCTAAGAGACTGTTAAACGAGGGGTTCTTTTTCTTCTAAAGACTCTCTCAAGCTAGGACAGTTATTAACACTTTTAATACCATCTAAGAGACTGTTAAACGAGGGGTTCTTTTTCTTCTAAAGACTCTCTCAAGCTAGAGAGAAAGGGAATAAGGGATGTTGTTAGAATGAAAGCCTTACTTAATACTTCAGATTTCAAATGCTTTAAATGTTTTTCCTTCTCTTCTGTATCTTTAATAAAAGGTTAAAAAGGATTTTTAATAGTGTGTTTGCCAGGGTGCTAAGCAGGCTGAGCTCTCTGTATACCAAATTGCAAACCTTGTTTTTTCACTGTTTAATGTTGGACAGAGACAGGGTTATATTAGCTCTTTTAACTCTTTGGATCCACATACTCCATTTCAATTAATACAAGTGGACCCCTGCCCCATATGTGCGAGAAACTGGAAAGTGTGTTGTGAATGAGGCAGGGATTGCAGGAAGAGAAAGAATGGTTTCATGGTTTAGACTGTTAGATGCAGCTCTGGAGAACTGGATTCTATCCCTGTCTCTGCCACAGACTTCTAGTATGATGCTAGCAAATTCACTTAACCCAAACTTTTCATAGGTGGTCACTAGTTGTATGTTCCTCATTTTCTGCGGGCCCAACTTGAGACCTCAGGTTCTGAGCTGCAAAAGTGCCGAGTCCTCACAAGTCTATGGGAGTTGTGCTTTGAACATAAAATGCTATATAATGCCAAGTATTCTGAAAACTCAGGTCTCAGTTGTCTTAAATTGGGCAACCAGACTTAACAGAAACTTTTGACCTTAATCATCTCTCTATACCTCAGTTCTCCATCTCTAAAATGGGGATAGTAGCACCTCCTCACCTTACACAGGTGTTGTGAAAATAAATTAGTTCATGTTTGCAAAGTACAGAGATACTATTGTGATGATCATAAAAAAGCACAAGAGAAAATTCATAATTCTGTCTTCAGAGCAGGGTTTGAATAGTGTGCAGTAAATAAGGCCTGGAACCACACACTGAAGAACAAGGAAAAAATAAAATATTGTTTAATGGCTCATTAAATGAGCACTGTCCATCCTGTGCAATGATTGAGGCAAGAGTTTTGGGGATAAAATACATAATGTACGTAATCATGTCATAACAGATTGTATTATAATGCTTACGCACAAGGGAAGAGTTAATTAAGATTGCCTGGGAAACTAATTCAGCATTTCCTAACTTTTCATGGTAACTTGGCTTTACTGGTGGAGGAATGCAAATATCATCAAAATGTTTTACAATGCGGTATTTCTAAAATAGATTTTCTGTAACCTAAAATATGGTGTAATGTAGTATAAAAAGTTCATCAGCACTTGTTTGGGATCATGTACACAGCTCACGTATGTTGTCGCCACTTATGATTAAAGCTACCATCTAAATCTTATCAATAGAAACTTTCTATCAGACCATAATGTTCTCTCTCTCCCTCTTTCTGTATATATAGTATGGAGGTGTTGATACTGCTCTGTACTTCAGACTGAACTGCAATTTGCACTTAATGCAAGACTAAAATCCCTGTTTCACACACTAATAATTGAATCTAATCTCCACATTTAGCATACAACTGCACAAGTTATAGTTCTAAAATATTATTCCTTGTTGAAGCCTAAACCCTGTCACATACTGGTCTACTCTACCACTTTAGTAAATCATGTACTTTTAAAAAATGTTTTCCTCCTATTTTTAATTTACCATGAAACTAACTTTGATGTCCTTCACCACTGACTGTTTTTCATCGTGCAACAAATAAAAACGGGCATGAGCTATTAACATCAGCCTGTTGGTAGCTCGTAAAATTTAGACAGTTAATTGCTATACTAAATTGGAAATTAAACCAGAGTTACCTTAGGTGTGTTTCTTTATAACAGTAAGTAACAGCATTAATAAGTACAAATATTTTAGATACATTACTGCAACAATAGTGCATATTTAATGGTTTTTCAAAACAGACACATGATACTCTCAATCATAGCAAGTAATATAGTGATATTTATTTGATAGAGAATTTCAATAAGTATAAACAATTTTCCTGGTGCTAAATATAGGGCCCTAAGCAATCTTAGACTGTGCATCCAAAATTAGAGGCCAGTTTTGAATATTATGGACCAAGTGATTTACATCAAAGAGCATCTTGTTCTTATTCCATGCCAACTACATTATGAATCAGGAGGGATGGAGTGAAATGCTAGCCTCATTGACGTCAATTGGAGTTTTGCCACTGATTTCAACTGGAGCCAGGATTTCACCCATGGGCTTTAATTTTGGTTATTGCACTCACTAGCTGAGTGACTTTGGCAAAGTCATTTAACATCTCCAAGCTTTCATTTTGTCTTCTGTAAAATAGGGGCAATGTTAAATACTTACCTCACTAAGTACTTGTGTGGAAACACTAACTGATGTCTGTAAATGTTTCATAAGTGCTAATCTTTCTTAGGGTTAGTGAAGGACAAAGGTTGGAACAGAACTTTGCATCATGGGCTCATTTTTAGAGTAACCACAACTTCCTCCTTCTCTGGAGTTCACATGTCATATGCCATTCTCAAGAGGCTTACCTCAAACAGGAGTGGACTTTCTAAAGTCCTTAAAACCAACATGAAGGGCTCCTAATAAACCAAATTTAATAACTCCTGACTTTACTTCCAAACGAACAAAAAATTCTTGAAAGGCATAAGACGGACAGCTAAAACTATTTTGAGGTTCTGAGGCCAAGCCATTCTGAAGTTATAATAAATCAAATAAGTTAGGAAAATGTTCCAAGTTCAAAAAGTGAAACCACTTCATCTGATGTACACTTATACCTCCAATGTGCCTTTGCCAATTTACATCTATCTTCCAGAAAAGTTCTACCTTGGAATAAAATTGTACCTGTGAAATTTCAGGCAGATTGATTTAAATTTTGGTTAATTTAGGGAATGGAAGAAAATTGGGCCTATAATAGGAAGCTTCTTTCAACCTTAATTATAGATAATACTATAGAAGATTTAAAACACGTTTCTATCTGCTTAAAATCCAAATGATAAAAATGCATACCGTACCTTCCCAGAAAACATTTGGGGAAAGTAGTTAGTTTTCTTTTCCTGTCTTTTATTAGGTTTCCTTGTTTGCACATCATTTTGTAGAGTTTCTCTCCCTGCTCAGAGATCATCACCCAAGTATCTTGTTCCATACCCAATTTTAAACCTGCCAAAAAAATCCAAAATGCTTTTGTATTTATAAAACATTTCGCTATCACCATTATCTTTCAAATTTTAGATATAAGTAACAAGCATAAAAAATAAATATTTAAGTGTATAAAAGCAGAGTCATAACTGGACACATGAAATTATCTTTATGAGTACTTAGATACTACTATTAATATGAACAATTAATCCCCTTAGAACTAAACAATAAAATATTCCAAAAATATCTGAGAATATATTAGAATGTTATTTATACATTTATAAATTTATCTTTTTAAAGTTCTATACAAAGACTAATTAATCCTCACACATACCCTTCACTGTAGAAAGGCAAGTTTAGTTCACCCTATACTACAAATGGAAATAGCGTTTGAATTTTTATTTACTTCACAGTTTTTACAAAAAAAATTACATGCTTTTCAGTTTGTTAATATTTTCCTCATTTTTTGTGTTTTTATTATGGGCCCATTATTACTTCTTTGGAGTAAAAGATATCCTTATTGTTGTTCAGAACATATATTCCTTGAACTGTATGACATATTGACCATGCATGAAGCCCCCAGAAAGTATTGGAAATCATCACAGCTAACTTGCTTTCCCTATAAACAGTTCTGAACTCTGCAAAAATTGTACAATGTGGAATTTTTGATTTGTATTTTATAGAAACATCCCCAATTTATCTGGGTTTTTTCAGATTTTATCAGTTTTAAAAACTGGAAATCTTCTGTATGAGTAGTAGGTTATTTAATTTTTTTAATCTGCAAATATAAACAAAACAAAGATAATAGTGGCATTAGTTGGAAAAAAGCTGATAAAATATAGCATTTAACATTGATACAGAAATGTTTCTCACTAAACATTAACCTGATACTGATAATCTAGACAAATGGATTAACCAATACAAGTATGCTCACTCCTGAGGAAAAACAACTTAACCAGTATACTGCTCTTAGAATATATGGGTCAAATGGCATCCTGATGCATTACACTCGTATCAGTTGCCTTTATTTTTTAAAATAAAGGAGTAAATGCACAACATCATAAATCTTGTTTGAGAATATGCTCCTATTAAATTAATACAGACAGCTTGAATGTATCTTACTGCATTCCCTAGGTGTTTGCATAAAAGCCAACAAACTCTATTAAAATCCTTTTTATAAAAAATTTCCCGATACGGTTGGAGCTCCCATTACACCAGAAACATGGTGATATAAAATGGTCCTGGTCCACAGCTCAAGTTAGAAGATTAATAGCTACAATAAACCCAATACTTCAGCTATAGCATTCTTTTCCATCTTGCTCAGTAGTATTTACCTTGATTTAGCAGATTTAGGCAGAATTAGGAACCAATATAGGTTGAATTTCTCTGAATATCTTTCACATAGCTGGTTTTGATTTAGCATTTCAGCTTATTTATTTGGGAAAGATTGCCATAGCAAAAAAAAGGTGTCCTTTTTGTTTAGATAAGGAGTTGAAAGGGACCCACCTCCCAGGAGATCAACATTCTCTGTGCTCAGTTTCTTTTGATCCAAGTCTTTTTCTTATAATCATTATCTGTACTATAAGAGTTTCTCCACTGGTCAGTTTCATGTTGGATTTCCTGGTTGTGTGTCAGTTAGTTCCTTCCACAAAGGAAAGCATCTGCTCATAACCTCCTTATCTGGGCAAAATTTCTAAGGAAGTCAATGAGAACTTTGCCTAAGTAAGGCATTTAAGAAGCAAGCCTTATTCTAAATTGATCTGTTAGACAACACACTGATAGACTGGAGTTATAGCAGTTAAATAGCACAACTTGTGATGGAAAGATAAAGCAACCAGGTCTCTTTCATTATTGGAATTAGAATTGTAACAAGTTGCTTAACTGTAAAACAGCTTGAAAAAGTTTAGCTACAGTCCATAATGTTTACATCCTACAGTTGCTAGAGGGACTATGGAAAAGCATATACTACAATTTTTCAAATTATGACTATTATGACCTTAATTAAATGAACTGGGTCTCTCCCCTTTTTGATTTTTAGAAAGTGGGCCAAACTCTATTCTCAGTTTTGTGCGTGCAAACTGAATTGCACACATATAAAACAGAAAAAATTGGTTTCATGTCTCATTAAGTAAACATAGAATTAAAGCATCTTTTTATTCATGGTGAATGGGAAATTGTTTACAGTTACTTTTAGAGTATTTGAATTCTGTAAAGATGTTTGTTTGGTTCATGAGTCATCTGGCATCCTACTTGTAATTAAGTTGATGCATCCTGCCTCATAAGAGGTGTTTATACAGATGTTTTGGAAATTGTCTGGGTGGGAGGAGATAGAGCAAGTTTATGAGTTGTCAGAAGACGAGCATTTAAGGAACTGTTTGTTAGATTCTGTGCTGGGACCCAATATGACCGTTGCCCCGTCTCTCTTTATCTCTTCCTCTGCCATTCCATCCCCTTCCCCTTTCTCTTTCTATTTACTTCCTCCTTATATCGTAGTTATATGTTCAGGGGCAAAAGTATTGCTATTAACCATTAGTTGAGAGAAACTGCAGACATGACAATATGGGCCTATATTATAAAGTTCCATTCTGAAATCCAAAGTTCTGGAGTGTTCAAATCTTGCGTTTTGATTTGGCACAGTGAAGCCTGCATGGGGATCTGATCATCATCAGGCACATCTCTACTGGAAGAAACTCAATAGCAAAATTCAATAGCACCAAAATGGGTAATAAAAACTGACAGCATGTTAACATGAAACACTTTTCAAATGGCCTCACTTTTCATGAGTGAACTATAGCTGTCAGTCAGGAGGCAGAGCAAATCAAGTTGAATAGTACCCAGGTTGTCTGACCTAATTGGCTGAAACCTCTCTGACCAAGTTGTATGAAAGGCCCTAAACCAAAAACATATAGACTTCTTTCTTGTTTTATGCACCTGCGTTTCCCCTTTGTTTCCACACTCACCCTTTCAAATGTTGAGTCCTTTGAGGTTTAAGCCCTTTCACCATTATTTATTATTAGTACTTCTACATATTTATTATCAGTACTTCTATATATTAGTGCCTAGATTCTCCAGTGGAGATTGGGGTGCTTGGTGCTATATAAACCTATGGTAAGAGACAGTCCCTGCCCTGAAGATCTTACAACCCATATAAAAAAGGCAGATAAAGGATGGGAGAAAGAACGTATTATCATCATCATTATGGAGAACTGAGGCACAGAGTGATTAAGTGACTAGCTCAAGGTCACAGAGAAAATCTGTGACAGAGACATGAAATGAAACCAGATCTCTTGAGCCCTAGACCAGTGCCCCAACCACAAGGTCATGCTTCCTTTCATCATCAAGACTCCATATCTTGTTACTTGCTATGATATGTTTGCTGGAAGCTGAAGTTAGTGCTATGTAAATTGGTGCTGTGTTGTCTCTTATTGGCTTAGTTTCTTACTCTGCACCGTGTTCACCATGAGTACCTGGGATTATGGCCACTTTTGAAATCAGGTTGACATTTTGTCTAAGGTTCTTCTACCCACATTTTGCTTTTTAGGAATGATTTTGCCTAAGGTGTGGATTTTCACCTTCCTCCATTTGGGGTGTGATATGGATATAGGGGTGATGTCATACTTCATACTTTTATTTCTGGTGCAACTTTTCGTGGAGAGGGGAAATGTACATTTCCTGGTTTTATGCTTCAGAAGATAGCCTTTGCCGCAAATCAGGATCATGAAGAACTGATGTATCAAATTACACTGCCTTCCCAGTGACAATGGTGGGCCACTAAGTGAGGCTAGCTCACATTTATTAGCATTTCAGGGTTATGAGCTAGTTGTCATTTGCATTACCTGGAGGGTGGCTCATCTGCACGAAGTCTCAATACAGCCAGCTGGCTCATTTCAAAAGCATAGGTAGCTCGTCCCAGGATAGCACCAGTAAATACACATACATTAGCAGACATTATGGGGCAGATCCTTAGATGGTGTAAATTGTCATAGCTCCATTGGCCTCAATGGCACTAGCTGAAGATCTGCCCCAGGGACTGTCAAGCTTCAGACCAAGGCAGCTGTCAGATTCCCATAATTCACAGGTTCCCAAACAGTGGGGCATGCCCCTTACAGGGAGAGGAGACACATGTTGGGGGAGTGCGGCTGGGGCCTAGGTCAGCCCCCACAGGGAACGGGGAGGGAGCATCACCCAGCTCCACTCCCAGCCCTGGCTGCCGGCCCTGGCTGCCAGCCCTGTGCCCGAAGCTCCGTGCCCCGTGCCCTGGTTGCTGGCCCCACGTCTGGGGCCCAGCAGAGGCTCTGCTCCTGGCCGCACCCCCATCTGTGGCCCCAATCTTGCCTCCCTTACCCCTGTCCGCAGCCCCCCCTCCAGGAACCACAGTCCCACTCCCAGCCCCGCCTCAGGGGAGAGGGGTTGCAGACCAAGCTAAGGGTGGGCGCAAGGTAAAAAGTTTGGGGACCACTGCCATAATAGCATGAGCTACCAGTACACATGGCTGGAGTCACATTCAGCAATGACGTCCTTCCTGGTTGAAATTTGGTTTGTGTGTTTCAAGTAGGTATTACACCAGTGCTTCACAGACAATTTGACCCAACATCATGAGTCTGCCCTGTCTGGAGATTGCCACTTGGCTGTACTTTTAATGAAAACACAAATGTAACATGGTCTGCCAGAAATGAAATGTAATGTAAAGTTCATTCACCTACCTTTTCTTCTCTCTCTCTCTTTTAGAATAGCTTCCAGCCATTCTTGCTTCTCTTCAGGAGTTTTTGCCATGCATACAAACCATTTGTTCTTTGCTGTGTTGTGGATTTTCCAGCCATTAACAACAATGTGGCCACTGCTATGATAGTCAGCTGGAAATACATAATGGAGAGAAATCTCTCAGAGTAGCATGAAATGAATTAAAATATGACTGTTTTTTATTAGATTCCCCATCATAATTCCTCAGCTCTTCCTGTAACAAACAGAAGAACAAGGAATTTAAAGTACTGTATCTCTAACTTTGACAATCGAAATCCACACAGATTGTAAACTATGTTGTATTTCCATATACTGTATTCCCTGCCGAAGAAGCCTTCAGTGAATTTAGTGTTTTTCAATAGTGTTAGATTGACAGCACTGGAGCCTGAATTTCTCTATATAACCACAGATGATCTATTATTTGTAGCTTTCCCACACTACACGACCAGTGTGCCTGTACCTCAGCTTTGACCTGGAGTGACCAAAGAAACTAAGTTCAGAGAAGGTAGTTCAAGTCTCCATTTCAAAGCAGACCTTGGTTCCAGCTAACAAGGAGTTATCTTAACTGGGCTTTAGCTGAATAAAGTAGAAGATATCATAAGAATTATTGGTTAACTTTAGTACAAATAGAAAGGAACAAAATAATAAAATCGGTTTGGTTTCCAGACCAGATTTGATTACCTATAACTAAGGTTGCAGGTTTGTCACAGAGGTCATGGAAAGTCACAGATTCTGTGACTTTCCATGACCTCCGTGACTTCTGCAGCGGCCAGTGCACCTGGCTCAAGGGCACCTCAGGCAGCCCCTGCACCAGTCGCATCGGACCCTGCTAGGGCACTCTCAGGCCCTCCCCCCACCCACCCACCCACCCCCAGCAGCAGCAGAGTTTGGTTGTGGGAGGGGGTAGGGGCACAGGGCAGGGTGAGGTGGGCTCTGGGTGGCACTTACTTGGGGGGCTCCCTGGAAGCAGCCACATCCCCTGTTCAGCTGCTAGGCGGAGGCGTGACCAGGCAGCTCTTCATGCTGCCTCCACCCAGAGCACTAGCTTCGCAGCTCCCATTGGCTGGGAACTGTGGCCAATGGGAGCTGCAGGGGCAGTGCCCAGAGGTGGAGGCGGCCACGCCTCTGCCTAGCAGCTCAGCGAGGTGGATGTTGCTGCTTCCAGGGAGCCCCCCATGTAAGTGCTGCCCAGAGCCCACCTCACCCTGTCCTGCACCCCAACCCCGTACCCCCTCCCACACCCAAACTCTGCTGCTGCTAGGGTGCGAGGCACAGAGCCAGGTAGGGAGCCTGCTGGCCCCGCCACACACACCCCAGCACCAGTGGGGGTTCCAGGCCGTGTGCCAATGCCCGCCCACAGCCCCAACCCTCAGGTCACCCTCCCTCACCCTACCCCCACCCCCGCAAGTTTTAGTCAGGGGTATATAGTAAAAGTCATGGACAAGTCACGGGCATGAATTTTTGTTTACTGCCTGTTACCTGTCCATGACTTTTACTAAAATATCCGTAACTAAAACGTAGCCTTACCTATAACCCATTCTTCCAAATACAGAAATGTCAGCATTAGCACATACAGTATAGTATGTTTTTGTTTTCAAATATCTTGAATTTTCAAATCTATTAACTTTACCATATTCTATCTTATGAACAAGCTTTATACATTTTGTTATTCATTAATGTTACTTCCTTTTTAGTTACATGTATTTAAATTTTTGATGTTAGCACTTTCGTCTATGACTCTTATCTGGAAATCTGCTAAACAAGGAATCTTTCACACCAAAAGTAGTGTCCTTGTCTACAATGATCATCCTTCTACTGAATTATCTGCTTTTCCTTTGGGCAGAAATATCTGCAAAACCCAAGTGACAATAAAAATCATTTTATGAAAAATATAAATTAAAACTTGAATTAACTACCACTGTGCAATAAAAAAAGATTAAGGTCAACAGTCTCTCATCACTAACTTTCTTTAAGAGGCAGGAAAATCCAAAGGCCAGCCAGAAACCATCCTAATAACTTCAGAGCTTTATACTTTGCAAATCCTTTTTCATAATTCAGCCCAGTTTTGTATAATGAGATGGGATTTTCCAAAACTGAAAGCTTTGCTGAAATGCTTGCTGAGTTTTATCATAAATCTCAGCAGACATGCTGGTATCCTTTCAATAACTCTGCATTTTAATAAGATGGAATGCAGCCAAGTATTGTATACACAGGCTGGGAAACATCAGTAACTGTCAGAATTTATTGTTCAGAGAATCAGGAAACTGATGTCTAAATATTCAGCTGAAGACCGTTCTGGTGCTCAAAAGTATATATGAGAGAGTATAAGTGTGTGAGAAGGAGAAATTTACAATAATTTTCTAACATTATATTTATTATACTATTTACAAGTTTTTCTATGGCACTTATTACTGTAGTATCTGAACACCTAACAAACAAACAGTGATATATTTATCCTCACAGCAACTATGTTAGCAAGGGAAATACTGTTATCTCCACTTTAAAACATAGTGAATTGAAGCAGTTAAAGATAAAGGCCCAGATCCTCAAAGATATTTATGCACCTAACTTACATTGATTTCAGTGGGATGTAGGAGCCTAAATACGTTTGAGGATCTGGGCCTAAGTGCCTAGCCCAAAGTCACACAAGAAGTCCATTACAGAGCTTGAAAAAGAACGCAGATCTTCAGACTTCCAGACCAGTTCCATAATCACAAGATAATACTTCCATATTTTATATGATGATATTATAGTGGGAGCTGGCAGCAGCTCCTATATTTAGGTTGCCTAAAATTTTTATTACAGGAGATTGCTAAAACCTTTTTCTCAGAAGCTCTAACATCTCCATTGTTTTCATCAGGTCTTTGAAATTTGGTGTGTGGAAAGCTCTTGGGTCCAAGGAGTGAGCTCGCACCGTCCCATGTATTGCCACTCAAGTTTTGATGAGTTATAAACTCTTTAAAAAAAACATTTCCCTTCTTTTGTGTTATTCTGTCACTTGCATGCCTCAGGAAAAGTCTGGCAGCATATCAAAATAATAACTCAACATGAACATTCTAAGGCTGGGACCATGTTGTTGCCAAAGCATCAGCACACACGGCACTGGGAAAGCCTGGGAGCTGCTACAGCAACTGTAGCATGAGAGGCAAGGTAGGAAAACCAGGCCAGGCCCCTTCCGCAGCCATCCGCAGACTCAGCACTTGGTCCCAGGGATCCATCTGTTCCTCTCTGGGAACCACATGAGGTGGGAACTCTCCTATCTCAGAGGAGAGGAAAGAAAGAGAGCCTGACTTAACCAGGCTTCCTCTGATTGGCCCACAGACCCAGCACATGGCACCAGCAGCCCATCCCCTTCATTGAGACAACAACCTTCTAATGCTAACATAGGTAGCCCTGCAACTCAAATGGTAGCAGTCGGGCAGTGCCAAAGTTCTGGGGTTCAAACCCTGTTGATTATGAACAACAGGGGACGTGTTGCAGTTGCACATAATAGCATTTGTTTTTCTTCTTTTTCCCTTATTTTTTTTAAAAAACTAGGAAATTCTATAAAAATATTTTAAATCAAGGTATGTAGGTTTCAAAATCATCAAAAAGCACACAAAAACTAGTAAATGACAGATACAGAGTTACTCATGCAATGTTAATTCTGCTCTTCGTGCACATGAATTATGGGACAGTTTTTAGTTACATGATCATAATACTGTTTTTTTCCAGTCTCATTCAGTGCACGGAATGGATGCACAAGGGGAGAGAATTATGATTGTGCAGCAATAGCAAATCTGGCATTTCCTAACTTTTGAGTGCTTGACTTTACAATCTAAATAATGTTTTTTTTAACATAGTTTGTTTTGTATATAATTATAACTATACTTTTCTATATAACAATTATATATAACTGAATTTTTTTAAAGAAACAGACAACACAAACATTACCATGAAAATAATGTCTTTTCTGTTCTAATAAATACAATAAGAAAAACAACACTATGCCTCCTGATGCTTGAAACAAAATGAATAGCTTCCACAAATTGTAATGCTCAGCCAAGGCCTGGCTTCATCAAAGAAAAATAGCTTTTAGGAAACGCATTGTTAATTTCACAAGGCACATCATTTGCATTATAATATGTCATACACATAAACCCCTCTTTTCCCAACCCTTTGCTTCTGCTAACCAACGAGGGATAGAACAGCACTTTTCTATGTCTGTCAATCAACATACTCCCCTAACAACTCTCTCAATTACTCACTCCTGCAGAACCTTTGAGTACAACAATGGAGTCAATAAAGGTATATCAGTTTATACCCGCTGAGAATCTGACCCAGTGATTTAAAGAAAAAAAATGTTGTCCATTAAAGGCTTGCACACCAAAAAATTGCACATCAGAAGGTCTGGAAACACCACTCAGCCTCCATGAGACTTTACTGTTATTAATATTTATAAAAAGAGCAGTACATTTTTGTGACGCTTTACAGAAATTCAAAGGCAAGAGTCTTGCGCCACATAGCTCACAATCTAAATTAAATTAAACACTGGACAAAATGATGGCAACGGACAATTAAGGGGAAGAAAACAATATAATTCCAAATAAGAATATGCAAAACAAACGTGAATGAAGATTGAAATAATAGATCAGTACATTTAGCAATAAGACAGGGCAAACCAAAAGAAGCCGATAGCACTAGGTTAGACATCAGCTGTAGAAAGCATAATGAATTAAGTGGGTTATACAAGAGGCATTTGAATGCACCCACTGGACACAGAGAAAGGGAGATCACACACATGGGGGCAGTGTGAAAAAAGGCATGATGATGCAAGTGGGAGAGAGAGAGACAAAAGGAGCAGCAAGCTAAGAAGCAATGGTGCAGCATCGGTTGTAGGGAGGGGCTGTACATAGAGAAAAGGTGTTGGCAAGGGGACAACTGTACAGGACCTGAAAATGGAGCTGAAGCATTTTAACATCATACAGAGAATCAGTGAAGCAACATGAGGAGGGGTGACGTGGCAAAAGCAGCAGAAAGAAAGAGTATTTCAGCATTCTGTACAGGTTGATGCGGGTAGGGGGAGAGTCAAGGATGTAGGAAGCGAGGAGGTTACAGTAATCCAGGTAAGAGAACCGAAACATGAATTTAGGCCTTAGCAGCAGTGAAAAGGGGAAGCACTGGATTTTAGTAATGTTTCAGAAGGGGAAGGGACAAGATTAAATAATAATCAGGATATGAGGACAGAAAGAAAGGAAAGAGTGAAAGATAACCCCCAAGGCTTTTAAGTGACTGAGGGGATAATAGCATTTTTTGGGATGGGGGAGGGGAATGAGAGAGAGGGAAACAATATAGGAGTAAAGATGAAATGTTGATAGGCTGGAAGAAGCAGTAGGATATTCAGGACAAGACAATGAAAGGTGAGGAAGGATGTGAGCCAGAACAGAGTGGAAGAGATTAGGAATTGAGAAGTGTGATGGGGCACGTCAGCAATATATTGATGGTATGAGAGATCATGGGAGCAAATGAAGTCACCCAGGCATTAGATGTCAGGTGAAGAAAATGAAAGGATTGTAGGCAAAACTATAGGAAACACAAGAGAGAAACAGGAGGAGAAGGAACAAGAGGATTCACTAAAGACTACATTGAAGGAGTGGTCAGCAAGGTCGGAGGAGAGCCAAGAAAAGATGAGAGTCACAAAAACCAAGGATGAAAGGGTCCCAAGTAGAAGCTGGGGGTTAACAGGCCAAAGATTGTAGAAATACCAAGAATAATGGGCAAGGAGATATCACCCTTAGACTGGATGAGGAAGAGGTCATTAGTGTCTGCTGTGAAGTAAGTTTCAGTGGCACAAAAAGGGTGGAAGCCGACTGACAAAGAAAATGGAGGAGCACTGGGACTAAACAGCATGCTCAAACAGCTTGGAGATGAAGAGAAGGGGAAAGGAACAATAGTTAGAGAAGGAAGCAGGACTGAAAACCCTCCCTCTGACTTGCTATGAAGATACTTATCATACTGTAATCTTGAAAAACATGAAAACCAACCAACTACCAACTCCCTCCCTCCTTCATCTACCTGATTTCTCCTTGGCTCCACCCACCACCTGCTTCTTCCAGCCCCTCAGAGTGGTCATCATCCGCATCCCCTCCACCACCAATCTCTATTAGTTTTTCTTAAAGAAAATCAACTTCCTAAGTGAAATTCTGTATTAGTAGAGCTGGTCAGAAAATGCCAATTGTTTTTTGCAGTAAATTTAGATATATGCTCACCTGGCTAGCAGAGGTTCATCTCTGATGGGGCAGAGAGCAGTGGAGACATGCTGGCAATGATGAGACGTTAACTGGGAGTAGCTAGGACAGTTCTCCACAAGCAGAGCTGGGCAAGAAATGGCTTTCCTGTCCCACAAGACTTTTTGAGATTTTAAGTTTCCCATCCCCGCATTGGACAAAAATTCAAAATACCAAAATTTTGTGCAAAGTTATTGTCCAGAAAAAAATGAATTGGGTCAAAATGTTTTCATAATTTTTAAATATTTCATTTTTTTACCTTTTATACATTTTAACATGTTTTAGTATAGTTTACCAAAAATTTCTAAAGAAGTAGTCATTTCAAATCAGAAAATGAAACCTTTCATTTAAAAAATGTTGAAAACAGATTTCAATCATTTCCAAACCTTTTTCCCAAAATTTTTTGAATAAGGAGATTTGTTCAAATGTTTTTGGTGGACAGTTTCAATTTCAACAAATAAACATTTTCTAATGAAAAAACATTTAGTTGGATAATTCTCAGTCCACTCTATCCAGAGTTCCCTCTCCTTCCTCCTACCCCTCTCACTAGTAAGCCTTCCTCCCATGGGGAAGAAGGGGCTGCTTCTTTCCCTTCCCAATTTACCCTCTCCCCCTTCTATGTGCTGCAGCGTGTGAGGCAGAAATCCCGAACTGAAAAAATAAACCTCCAAAGTATTTCATTTTTTTTAAACTGAAAGCCAAAAACATGTCATGTGTTGGTAAAAATGTTTGGCTTCCAAAAACCTGGAAAATTTTAACTGAAACCCAAACATATATACAAAATGTTTTCAGTTTTCACTTTCCAGGGTGTGTGTAGGTGTGTGTCTTTAAACAAAAAACAAGAAAATTATGACCAGCTCTATGCATTAAAATTGTAAAGGAATAAAATATCTTTTTCCCTTTTCCTCTTTTTAAACTTATTGTGTTGCAAGTATAGCATTTAAAAGCAAATAAGATAATGTTCTAAAAGACACAACTTTCAAAACTGTTTTTACTACCACATTATAGGAACAGGAATCTCTCATGTAAGCGTGCTGCATGTTATAAAGTGAAATTTAAAGCACCATTTCAGTCAAGACAATAAACATCACTTTAGCATTTCATCATGACTCTGCCACCAGTTTAAATCAGTCAACTGTAACTGATAGACTAGGGGCTTGTCTTCACTACCAGGGTAAGTCGACCTAAGTAACACTACTCCAGCTATATGAATAACATATATGAATGCTACATGAATGCTCTCTATAAATATATCAGAGGGATAAATACTGGAGAGGGAGAGGAATTATTTAAGCTCAGTACCAATGTGGACACAAGAACAAATGGATATAAACTGGCCACCAGGAAGTTTAGACTTGGAATTAGACGAAGGTTTCTAACCATCAGAGGAGTGAAGTTTTGGAATAGCCTTCCAAGGGAAGCAGTGGGGGCAAAAGATCTATCTGGCTTTAAGATTAAACTCGATAAGTTTATGGAGGAGATGTTATGATGGGATAACATGGTTTTGGTAATTAAATATTCATGGTAAATAGGCCTAATGGCCTGTGATGCGATGTTACATGGGGTGGGATCTGAGTTACCCAGGAAAGAATTTTCTGTAGTATCTGGCTGGTGAATCTTGCCCATATGTTCAGGGTTTAGCTGATCGCCATATTTGGGGTTGGGAAGGAATTTTCCTCCAGGGCAGATTGGAAGAGGCCCTGGAGGTTTTTCGCCTTCCTCTGTAGCACGGGGCACGGGTCACTTGCTGGAGGAGTCTCTGCTCCTTGAGGTCTTTAAACCACGATTTGAGGACTTCAATAGCTCAGACATAGGTGAGAGGTTTTTCGCAGGAGTGGGTGGGTGAAATTCTGTGGCCTGTGTTGTGCAGGAGGTCAGACTAGATGATCATAATGGTCCCTTCTGACCTTAGTATCTATGAATCTATAAGAGCAGCCCTAGAACAGTAACTGCCCAGCTCATAATGTTTGAAATCAGTGATGTGTCACAGAAGCACAGTTTTATTGGGACTATCTGCTCCTATAAAGTGAGATCTTTATTATTTCCTTTAAAGCTAATACTGCAAGGTGCTGAGCACTCTCCACTCCCTCAGGAATCTATGGCACTTGAGACTGCTTAACAATCCACAGGAGATGCTCAGCACATACAAGACGAGGTTCTTTATGTTATAACTGATCGCTTCAAATGTACTCACCTGTGCCATCATCTACGTTCTCCACTTCCATTACCTCTGTGTTTATTCTGCCTCGAAAAAGATACCGATGGCCATCAGTAGAGGCTTTGCTGTTTTTCAAACGTCTTGTAAGAGAAAAAGCATAAGAACATTGTCCAAACACCATACTATACATTGTTTCTGTACCATAACTACTATTATTTTTATGTATTTCAGTAGCATCTAATGGCTGCTATAAGAATCAAGGTCCAATTGTACTGGTGCTGTAGAAATCAGAATGGACCCTGTCACAAAGAACTTACATCTCTTATAGAGCTGCTATAAAATTATAGTTAACTCATAATACAGTTTAGCTTACAATAGTACAGTGAGGAAAGTGGAGAAAGTTCAGTTAGGATGACACCCCTTTCCCCCTCCATACACACACACAGCATTTTCATTCTAAACCTCTTTTATCAGTCACTTCTAGTTTGCTGATTAACTACCTTTTGGGCTGAAGCCTCTCATATTTCCAGGAGAGAATCATTCTGGAATGTTTGATAAACATTGATGCATCCACTATCGAGTTATCAGAACAAGAAGATTTTTGGAACTGTTATGAAATGTTCTGATGCTCTTGGCTCTCAGATATCTCTAAGACCAATTTCTTTTCTAAACTTCCAATATGCCATGTAGGGAGCTCTGGGTGAAGAGTATGTTCCATTTTATTTCAAAAGTAAATGCCTTAAAGCACAGCATAGCTTATGACTGTGATAACCATGTGCTGAATATGCACAGTCAGTTATTTTCTTTAACTTCTTAAGCACTGATTGAGGTAGGATACTCCAAGTATATCCACCTGCATTAACTTGAATGATCCATTATGCTTACAGGGCAGTTTTCTTTCCCATATGCTTACTGAATAATCCTTATCTGAACAACAGTTTGGTTAGTACATTTTTATCAAACATAAAATAGGCATATTGACCGTGCAAATTTTTTCTTGCTTCAGTATTAAAAGGGAATGACACAAATACAAAAGGCCAGGGAACACAGCAGAGATGAGGCAGTATGAGCTATGAGTTCCAGTTAGTATACATATTGTTTTTATAGAAATTATAGCAATTAAAAAAAAAGCATTGACTTTAATGAGGCCCGGATTTCACCCTTCATTCTTTAATTTTGGTCACCTACATTTGTATAGGTGATATTTGATTTAGCAATGTTAGCCCCCCATTCAGAGAAGCACTTAAGCACATGCTTAACATTAAGCACAGTTCTGTTGACTTCAATGAGAGTGAAGAACATATAAGCATGCGCTCAAGTAGCATCCTGAACAGAGATGCTTTCCAGAATCAAAGCCATAGTGATGAAATACATATATTGGCTAGTTACAAACATTCTAAACAGGCATCTATCTTTGGGGATGGGAAAGGAAATAAGGGGGAAGAAAGGAGAAGAAAGAACCTTAAGACTTTAGTGTCATAGATCAAATGCTTTCAGCTTCTGCATGAAATGTAAGTATTTTATCCAAGATGGGCACCTTTTCCTCCAACAATAACTCATCTTAGCCATTCACCAGATGCCTGTTCCCCTCTCACAACAGACCGGAAACACATTTATGTGGCTGAGTAAAAGTTCTTAAAGGAACCTTAACTATGAATCCCCTGACTTCTTTGAAACTAAAATCTCAAGCCTCATATCACACTAACTAGGATTTAATTTGTTCTCATTGAATTATAATTTTCTCTATGTCTGATCACATGAGGGACTACAGGCAAGGCAGTGTTGCCTAGTGACTATAGCCCTGGACTGGAATTTAGGAGACCTTGGTTCTATTCCTGGATCTGCCACTGGCATGCTGGGTGACCTTAGGCAAGTCATTTCCCCTCTCTGTGCCTCAGTTTCTGCAACTGTAAAATAGGGGAAATCATACTGACCTCCTTTGTAAAGTTCTTTGAGATCTAAGGACAAGAGCTCGATATTATTATTAGTTGTTATAGTGTAACAAAATATTTATAAGTTTGTGTATCTAATTTCCATTTCAACATTTATAAATCTTCATCTTATTAACAATCCCTGTCCTTTACCCAGATTTCCTGTTTTCCTCATCAGAGTTCTGCTCTCAAACCCCACTTGCTTCCTTTCTACTTTGCTTCATTCTTTTTAAAAGGCCATTGATAAGAGATATTTAATAGCATTTTTATATCCTATATAAACTATCTTGAAATTTTATTGGAGGGCAGAATGATAAACATTTTTAACCTAAACTATGTTTTAACTGAAAATCAAAAATAAATATACCTTCTTACAGTAAATTCTGTGGAATTTCTACAACACAGTCCTCAAATATTGAATCATAAAAACAAAGAGGCAGATTCACTAGAGCTAGTGCACCAAGGTGTAAATTATACCTCCTCATACGTGCCGACTCCATGGGTGCTCTGGGGCTGGAAAAAATAGTGGGTGCTCAGCATCCACCAGCAGCCCTGCAGATCAGCTCCTTCTCCTCCTCCCCCTCCCCCCCCAGTGCCTCCCGCCTGCTGACAGCCACACTGATCAGCTTCTCTCCCTCCCCCCCCCCTCCCAGCGCCTCCTGCCTGCCAGTGATCAACTGTTCAGCGGCGTGCAGAAGGTGCTGGGGTTGGGGGAAGGGGGACGGAGGATGGGGTGGAGCGGGGATGGGAAGAGGTGGGGCAGGGGTGAGGTCTTGGGGGAATGGGTGGAGTGGGGGCAGGGCCTGGGGTGGAATGGGGGTTGAGCATTCCTGGGGATAAGAGGAAGCCGGCGCCCGTGCAGCTCCTTACACCTGTAAAAGCCCCAAATTAGCAGGCAATATTTGCACTACCACCCTTTTTCACCTGGGGAGAGCTGTTTTAACTCCTGCTGGGAGCTCCCTAGCAGCTCTTTTTATGGGAACCATTACAGGAGAAGGCTGAATCAGTGCATTTCCTGGCCACTCTGACAAAGTCCCTTCAAAACTGGTGCCACAAACTTTTTGATCTGAAGTGGCTCCCTATTTCTTTCTAATGCAAAGGAGTCTGTGGCTGCTCTCCAACACTGCAGCATCCTGCCTTGGCAGACCTTCCACACCCAATGCCCTCCACAAGGGTCTATTCCAGTAGAAGCCACTATAGATCCTAGAGAACATCTTTCCCCAAATCTGTAACTAATGCAGATGAAGAGATTTTCATAGCATCGGGATATAATCTTATCCTGATGCTCTGAGATAAATAAATCATAGAGCATACTGTACATGTGATCACGTGAATAAAGTATATAACTTATTTTGTACAAACATTCAGAAAATAACTAGATAGATTTTTTTTAGGAATAAGGAGTCAAATCTATTCACAGCTCTGTGTAAAAAGTATATATCTGACAGTTTTCAAACAGGAATTGTACTCCCAATCAAAACAATAGACAGTTGAAGTCTCTCACACATTTTTTAAGACTTCTCACACACCTTAAATATATATTATTTACAAATTATTCTTTAGGATGATTCTTTCATTTATATCCAGAATCCCACTGACTTTGGATATTCTTGGATGGTTATTGTTAAGAGTCTAAGTTCTGACTTTCAATAAGATTTAGGCTCTTAAATGTACGTCACTTTTGAAAGTGGTCGTGAGGATCATAAGTCCCATAGGCACTTTTGAAAATATTACCCTTAAGCCTCAATTCTATAAATGGCATCTGTGCAGGCACAGGGGTCCTCTTGCATGTTTCTCTTAGCAATGTTAGTGCCTTATACCACAATTAAAACAGTTTCCCCATCTCTGTACTAGTTATTTAGGCAATATCAATTTCTTTTAAGTCTCTCACTATGACGTACTTGTTCGTATGGGAAAAATGTAAATAATTTCTACAGTAAAAGCTAATAAATTACCTGTGTTTTCGTTTACAGTAGACCAAAAGATTGTCAAAAAGAAAAAATACACGCTCCTGGATATTTCCTGCAGAAATTTTCAGCAAAACTCCATACATTAGCATTTCCGTGCATGTATCTGTGATGTTGGACCCCTAAACCAAATGGCGAGAAGCAGATTAGTCCATGCAAATTGATGACGTTTGCAAAACCAAGCAGAATACAGATTTCCATACAAATTAATTTTCAATTATAGCAGTTCCTTTTTTTAAAATTACTAGAAAGAAAAACACACAGTAGTTTGCTTTTAAGTTTAAACACTGATTTGAAATGTTTATTTAATGAAGACTTTGCATTAATCTCCTGTTACCATCAGGTTCTGGGTTTTTTTCTCACTTTTTTTTTGTGGATTATTAAATCTCTCAAATTATATTAATCTCTGTGACAATTTAGCCAAATGATTAGAGCTAGGTTGGCTATAAAAACCATAACAATGACCTTCAAATAGCTTAAGTATGGTCAAATTCTTATGAAAAAATGAAATTAGAGGGGTCGTTTCAGAAGACTGCACACAACAGAAATTCTGTCACACTGAACCTAATTTGTCAGTGAAGTAGTTCTGATGTATTTTAAATAGTTAAATGTATGTACTTTCATACCAAACTTTCAAAAAATAAAAACGATCAAAATACAAATTATAGACAAAGCTGACAATGAAACCTACAATAAAGGTTTTAACACATTCCATTATAGTCCCTGTTCTCAATTGTTTTTAATTTTGCCAAACTTTAACCATTTGATGAAATTTTCCATGCTTCTCTCTTTCTAAGGATGATTTTTTTCAAGTGTCAGTGAAAATAGGTCAGCTGTTTGAAAACTAACGCTAGTGAAAAATAAGTAGTTTTTCCAATGATTAAAAAGTTCTCCAGTGGTTTGTTTGAAGAGTTCTAGCATCTCAGTGCTTTAGAGAAGGAACTTGACATTTGGCTGGGAGATTGCCTATCTTTTGCTGTCCCCTGACAATTCAGGCAGTTTTGGTGAGATATAAACACCGGAAAATCACCATATACTCATGTAAAGGAGCTCGTTAAAGACTTTGCTGCTAAAATTTCTGAATATGCTGTCTACAGTGAGCACACTATAACTCCACAGATCTCTCTACGTGCCAGTTACACTGAGCGTGCACCTAGGGTGCTATGAGCTACTTTCATGATAGGAACAGAGCTATAGTTGAGGATGTGGGGGATGCAAAAGAAGCAGCAGTCATGGATACCGTTTCCCTATAACCCCATTACTTTGGCCCAAGAGAAGATGCTCTGAGTTGAGATCCAGGAGGAAATCAGGGGTTCTAGTCACAGCTCTTCCTCTGAGTGTTGTTACTTCTTTGTACTTCACAATCTTTACTACAGGGGTATACATTTCCAGTGCACACTAACATGTTGCACACTAACTTCCCTGTGTACACTAAAAGTGTACTGTTTGAAATGGGACTACATTAATGCACTCTAGGGAACTGTTAGTGTGCATCAGCACGGACCATATGGGCCCATTAGTGTGCAACACACTAGTGAGCTCTAGAATTCACACCCCTTGTATGTGGACTAATGCACTGAGGAGACAAGCCGTCAAACTCCAGTCTTAGGAGGCAGACATGTATCATTCATTCACTGTACTGTTAAAGTAAAAGCGGTTGCACAATGTCACTGGCAGAGCTGGGAACAGACTCAAGAATCTACTAGGGCAAGTTTCAACCATTTACACACACTGTCTTTCAGAATGAATTTGCCAAATCTACGTGTCTGGCTGTGCCATCTGGAGCCACTAGACAGAAAACCACCAACTTTTCGGCAATTTTTTTTGTTTTTTCTACAAAAAAATGAAATTTTCTGTGGAAAATTTTGATGAAAAATCTTGTTTTCATTGTTATTGGGGGGAAGATAACCATTTTCCAAACAGCTGTAGTAATGCAGCTTATTGTTCCACGTTCATGTACCAAAAGACCCTATTGACCAAACTTTTTTTTGCTGCCCCTTCCCCCAACTCCTGCCAGTCCAGGAAAGACTCACTGAGTTAAGCAAGTGGCTCACACCTGGGATGGCAGCAGGACCACTGGCTCCATCCCCAGAGGCACCCATGACAATGTGGTACAGACCATATTGGGGCTCCTCACTCTCCCTCCCTCACTGACCGCTTGGGACTCCCTGCGTGCACTCCTCACTGATTCCCTGCCTTGGACCTGACACCCAGCCACAGCCCGGCAGCCCATCCTGCACTCCCCCACCCCCGATAACCTCATTATGTCCCCCACAGCGAAGTGTGCCCACAGTGTGAAAACCAATGCCGTACTTTATGCACAGGTAAAATGGATAGGTTATTTTGACTCTGAATGCCTGACACATGATTAAAGTCTCAATTTTAACACTGCATTAACTGTAGTTTTCATCATATCACTACTCTAGGTGTTATTTTTCTTTTCCATTCTTAAGAAACTGCCGGCTGAGGTCCCATGAGATGAAAAAATGGCTGCAGCATGTTGCATTAAATAAACAAGTGTTTCATGGACTCCTTTTCCCTTGGAGATCTCCCATCTGAATATTAAATAATGATAACCTTGCTTATCTTATAACATTTGACAAGATCTGACTTGTGACGGTATAGCTGTATGTCAGTGATTTTTGTTAAGTGTTACTGTATTCATTGAAGCCCTGGAGAGTGAGAAAGAAATCAAATCCAGCTCTTCCACAGAACACTATCACAACCCACTCAGCATAGAGAACCTTTCAATATTCTTTTTATTTATTTAGCACTGTAAGGGCCAGAAAAAAAGATCACTCACCTTCCTATAACTCTTATTTTTCAAGATGTGTTGCATATGTCTATGGAGTAGGTATGTGCATATCTCGTGCACCAGTGCTGGAGAGTTTTCCCAAGTAGTATCTGTGAGAGAGCTATGCATCTGCCCCGGCTTCCAAGGCAGGGGTTCCCAAACTGTGGGTCACGGCCCAAAGGTGGGATGCAACACAGTCCCGGGTTGTCCGTTGGCAGGGTCAGAGATTGGGAGTGGGGGCATGTAGGGGCATTGCCCCCCCAAACTGCATCTTTCCACTCCCCTCCCGGCTCTAGCACTTCAATGCAGCTCCATGGCACACTGCCCCATCCACTTGCCCTGCCTGACAAAGGCTGCACCGAGAGCATGTTTACACAGGAGTTTGGGGGAGGGTCTGGACGAGATGGATTTTTCAGAGGGGCGGAGGAGCTGGGGTTGGGGAAGCAGCAGATGGATAGCTGGGAGGTTTCCTCTTCCCTTTCTCAGGGTATGTCTTCACTACCCGCCGCATCGGCGGGCAGCGATCGATCCAGCGGGGATTGATTTATCGCGTCTAGTCTAGACGCAATAAATCGACCCCTGAGCGCTCTCCCATCGACTCCTGTACTCCAGCGCTGCAAGAGGCGGGGGAGCAACAGCAGTCAACTCACCAGGGTGGAGATACCATGGTAAGTCGATCTAAGTACATCGACTTCAGCTACATTATTCATGTAGCTGAAGTTGCATAACTCAGATAAATCCCCCCACCCTCCCCAGTGTAGACCAGAACTCAGTATCTGGCTTGCATGTGGCTGGGGGGCGGGGGCAGGGGGTTGCTATTTTTCAGTAGGGAGTATCAGGGACTCCCCCCTGCCCCGTGCACTAAGCTGTCCCTTCCATCTCAGTTGCCAGTGGCAGGGTGTGGGTGTGCTGTTTTGCAGTGGGGGGGGGCAGGAGACACCCCCTTCCCGCATGCACTGTCCGCTTCCCCACTCCCATCTCTGCTGTCCATGCTAGGATCCAACCCCACCCCCCGCAACACCTCTCCATTGCAGGCCACACGTGGTACCCTCACCAGCCAGCCAGCCATCCCTCCCCAGGGTGGAGCATGAAGCTACCAGCGGGAGCATCCTCAGCCTGTTCCCAGCAACTGGGCTTGCTCAGGCATTTTGCTACCTGTTGGTTCCCCTGACCTAAAACACAGATACCCCACCCCTTCTGAAACATCCTTAACTCTTCATATGCCACAATCCGTGCCGCACCCTCCACCTCCCCATGAGCCATCTATCATCAGTGTCCTCTATCTTGGACAAAACTGGTCTTGGTGTCATCCCCCTCACCCCTCTGCCCCAGAATGTGCAGAATGTGCCAGAACTGCCACCCATGGCAGGCAACACCAAGGAACCTCAGCCCACCCCCACATGACTACCAGTGCCCCTTGGGGGCAGTGACCAGGGGGACCTTGTGTATGGTAAGGGAGCCACATGGAGCTTTGACTCAATTTTGGGGGTGAGTTCAGGGCTTTTGCCCCTGGCACTCCGGGGCATCAATGGGGTGCACTCCTTTTCGAGAGGAGGGGTACCACTGCCCTCAGGCCACAGCACTGAAGGGCCGGGATCAGGAGGGGAGTGGAAAGATGCTCCCAGTGAGTACTGGCCTCCTGCTGGTACATACATTTCATGTGTATGTAATAAATAAAATTAATAATTTTCCTCCAGAAGTGTTAATAGTGGGCTACAGTGCCTATTGCAACTGCATAGGTGGGCCTCAGGGAAAACCAATTTGTGAACCTCTGCTGTAAGGCAAGGGCAGCACTGCCCTGTCAATCCTTCAGTTCCTTCATAGTGGAATTTCAATGGTAAACTCCCATGTGTTGGGGAAGAAGGGTGGGTAATGTAATGTAATGGACCTATGCAACACATCTCAAAGAACAACAGTTACAAGGTTGAGTGAGTAACCATTTTTTCTTCTTCAAGTGACTGTATATATCCACCCAAGCTATTTAAAATGGAGATGGGGCTAGGAGTCTCATCTGAAGAGTGACTACAGTATTGCTTTTCCCACATTTGTGTCTTCCCTTGATGCTGTAGAAATTGCATAGTGTCTACCAAACATATATAGAGGACAATGCCACTGCTCTGCAGATGTACGTGATAGACACGTTTCCCACAAATGCAACAGAAGCCAAATGACTTTTAACAGCATAGCACATAATAATGAACCTGGTAATCCATTTAGAAAGCTGTTGTGCTGTAATAGGGTGACCTCTCATTCATTCTTCATAGAATATAAACAGCTGAAGAGAAACCCCAAAATAGCTTTGTTCTACCCAGGTAAAAGGCTAGGGCT